GTCTCTTTTTTTTTTCAATTTTTGGCTTAAGTTCAATACGGTGAGGGCCTTATTTTCTATTTTTATTTCAAATAGAGGTATTATCAGGTTAATAGCTCTAATTTATATATTCAGAGAAGAAATAAGTGTTAATCCATCATGCATGTATTTGATGCAATCTCATAGCATCCCCCACCTTCTCCTGGTTGATTTCTGAACCAATCCCGTATCAGCGCCTCGACTAAGCAGCCTGCTAGAAGTGTGAGTTACAATGACAAACACAGCAAGGAGTCTGTGCTTTTTTTCCCACCGAGCTCTTTTCTGCACAATATAATGCCTCTATAAATCTCATTGAATAGCCATCTGAACCCAAGACGTAATGCCACTTTAAGGGTCAGACATTGAAAGAGCTAAATTTCATGGTTCGGCAGGGCGTGGGGACATTTATCGGGTCCAATAGAACGTTTTTTTGTCATGCTGCAAAGTGCTAACATGTGATGTACATCTAAGACATTTTTTGAATCACAAAGACTAATTAAATGTGTAATATTTAACGTACAAATGAAGGAAATCTTTAAATCAGAATCGGTAGTTAAAACTGCAAAAAAGGGATAATCTGTTTTGACTTGGAAAAGCCTGATCTCTGATATCTCTGATATCTTCTGCCCATGATACAAGCTAAACACTAAATATTAGACAAGTAGATTAGCATGGATTGATTACATGATGCCTGGTGCGACACATGGAGCTGGCAAAAACTAAGAATTCACGCTGTTCCCTTTCCTCTGAACTCTATATGACCCAGCTCAGTTTTTCAGCATCTCTGTTACATCTTGTCTCTTCCTGAACAGATGCAGTTTGTAACAGGGAGTCTCCAGAGAGGTTTAGAAGGTTAATGAATCTGTAGCTTCAGGCAATATTGCAGCAGGTTCAGAGTTCACAGATACAGGGAGCAGTAGACCCTTACCTGAACAAGCAGATGGGTCCTCTTAGATAGATATGAGCTCTAAAAGGCGGGATAAAGGGTCTCATCATGTGAGTCTGTTCTAATGAGGTCGGACAAGATGTATTTATTGTACATTTATCACATCTTTTTTATTGGTTTATATCTGAGATAATTAATTGTCTTTTGGCTTTTAAAGATAATTGTTGAAAATGTGAGATTATTTTATATTGATTACTGTCTTTACAAATCGTCCCTTTTGCATTTCTATAAATCTTAGGAATCCATCTGAAAAGCATAATTGTTGTATATCTTTATTTGCATTTAAAAGACCTTAAGATTTGCATAAGGATGATTCCTGCTGCATGTTTAGCTGCTCTGCATGCTCTTCCTGTTAGGAATGAGAGGAATGACTGAGGGGGGGTCAGAGACATTGACTGGAGCCAAATAAAACAAAGGGTATGTGAGAGTTAAGCATAACGTTAATATTTATTAAGAGCTGCACCAATCAATCATTGCAAAGATTTGTATTTTCTAGTTCTGTGTTGCTTTGCACTGTGTGATTTATCGGTTAAATAATGAAAAAAGTTGTTTTTGGTGGTTTTTCTGCTCGATAAAAGCATCCATCTTAAAAGGGCCGCCCTTTCCGGTCATAAACACAACATCAACAGGTCAACATTTATTTAGATGGACACTTATTGTTTCTATTTAACAGTAATGAGATAACCATTAGGGCTAAATGCTTTGAAGCTTAAATTTAAATAACTTCTGTTACTAATAATCTGCAGCTCATATTTATTTTCTTTGTTTGCTTTAGGTAATCCTTATCAAAATAATTGCATCGGTCAAAAGGACATTATCAGCACAGCTCTAGAGACATTAGTTAAGGCAGCAGAGGAAGTCGTTCACATTTTATCATTCAATTCAGTTTATTTCTATAGCGACAATTTACAACACGTCATCTCAAGGCACTTTACAGTTCAACCAGATCATCCAGTCAAATTGATTCAAAGTTTTCTAATGAAAACCAGTTGATTATATCGACTAATTGACTCGGATGCAATTCCTCACACTACGCATGCTTGTAGTGACAGAGGAGAGTAGTAACAGGAAGAAACCTCCAGTAGAACCAAGGCTCAGTGTGAGCGGCCATCTGCCGAGGCCGACTGGGGTTCAAGGAGACAGAAGCAGAGATACAAAAAGCAGCTGTAAAAGGCGGCCCTGTCCAGGAAACACACAGCCAGGCAGACGAGCTCCGAGCCAGCTCCCATGTCAGAGGATGAAGAGAGCACATCCAGCCAGTCACAGTCAGAGAAACGGGACTACACTGAAAAACAGGCCGACCTCCAACATCTATAAACAAAGGTGTTGTAGGAGCACAGCTGATATTTCTCTCCAGGATGGAGTCACAGCCAAACAGGAACAGACTAGATGAAGCTACCATGAGGAAAAGCAGAGAGAGCAGAATGTTAGAATTTGAACTAACAGATTCTGCAGAATGGGAGAATAGAGATAGAATGATGAAATGGGGGTCCCTATATAGAGCTATAGAGATAGCTCTAGATACATAAGATTCAGAGATTCAGATACATAAAGTTCTGCTCCTTTGACTCTGATCAAAGTATCTGCAGGTTGGAGAGAGGTCGGGAATCTATTTTTAAATGATATATTCAGTCAGATTGTGTGTTTAAAAAAAACAACAAAAACGCAGTGGGAATCTGTCTCGCCGGGCGACCAGGACACACGGCCACACCCTGTGCTGTTTAGGATTTATTGGCTACTGTAAATATTTGAATGAGATCACATGGGAGTGATTGCAGTGATGCCAGAGACGTCACATGCTCCTCAGTGTTTATGTTTTAACGTCGACCACCTATTGCTCATGGGCAGGCAGCAGATAGTGGTGAATTATAATAGAAACAGGCTCTGTTCTGTTCATTCAGCTGAAGCTGTGTGGTCTTCACACCATATTTTTAGCTTAATAAAAAAAAAAAAAAATAGTTTTCTGCTTCTAAGCAGGGAGTATAACTTTACTGTAAGTTTACAGATGGAAAATTGTGCTCTATTATTTATCTGTTAGCTTAATCACTTTGAAAAGAGTGGCTAAAAAGTGGGGAGTGTTGGCCTAGTGGTTAGAGCAGTGCTCTTGTGCTCTGAGAAAGTTACAATAACCCGATTCAATTCACACAGCCTGCACTCTGAGTCCCTGAGCAAGAATCTTAACCCCACACTGCTCCTCGGGTGACGCACAATGGCCGACCACTGCTCCCCAAGGAGATGGGTTAAATGTGAGATCAATAAAGTTCAATCATTATTATTAAGATTTACATTTATTGTGCTGCCTTAAATAACTTTTTAGGGTTACTTTTAAAATCTAGCCAGCTAGTTAATACTTTGAATCCGAATTTCGTAACTATTATTGTGACACATCAAGCCATGAACTGTAACCAACATTGATCAAAAAGTGGAGGCTCCTTATTAGTGGTTGTAGTTTTTAATCTAAACAAAAAACTTGAAAAATGAATAACAATTTTTTTATATATATTTTTTTTTTATTGTTGAGCAAATGTTTATCCTCTCCTAATTGATATTATAATAACACGGGGAACCGAGTAATTAAATCATAGCAGTTGATGTTTGTTGATTCTTGTAGGAACTGAAAAACACTTTTTTTCTCCATCTGATCACTGGTATCGGATTTAATTTATACATTTCACCGTCTTAGAGGGGGATTTATTTAGGATAGATTCCACTAAGTCTATAAACGACAATAAATACCTCAGAGCTAAAGAAAATCAAAACCTTACATCCGAACTCCAGACATCCCCATTTATCTAGCATCATTTAAAAACAGATCAGCTCTGAGAATAAAAGAGCCATAGGTAATGGGTTGATCTTGCCCTCTGGGTACAAGGAAACCTTCTGCTTTATGCTCGAAGGTTGAACTCTGAGTGCAGAGGATGTGGAGGATCTTTGAGGATCAGTGTTGCCCTTTTAGTGTTTCTTATTCTGGAGATTTAAGGTCTCTGAAATCAGGACCAGCAATCTTTGTGTGGACCCTAACCATTCTTATTAAACTAATTTACCATGAGGTACCAGCACACCTCCCAGATGCTAAAATAATAAAGAAATACAAATATTGATTGACATTTTAACCATTTTCTGAAAGAGAAAGACTCTAACCCTTAAGAATATCCTCTGTTCTGCCTTTTAACAGACTGCCTTAAAAATTAGCTTATTTTATCCAGAATGATGCCTTGCACCACCCTACAATTAACATCGGTATAGGCTGAGGCTGATTAATTTTTTTAAATCAACCACCATTTTTTTGTTTCTTAAGCCGTTAGTTCATAACTGAATGAAACAGAACCGTACTGCATCACCTTGTCCTGCAAGAAATCTTTCATAAACCGCAGAGGTTTATGCAAGAGTGACATGACAGAGAGGCACATCGGTGGATGCAACTCATAAAAGTTGTCTTTGGACTAATTTGTTTTGTTTTTATGTTTGGATAACTGGGATTGACTCACAGTTGGAATAGATTTCATTTCAACAAACACAGGCAATTATTTCTTTTTACTGAAATATCTTTTAGTTCACTACCTACTTATTCTTTTGCATGCATGCGTGGAGTAAGAACTTACAAATTTGTTGATTTTTGGGTCTTTTTTGCCAAATTTCTGAGTTAAATCAAAATCAGACAAAAATAAGAGGCATATAAACTTCTGTTAAAGAAATTGCAGCATATTTTACTTCTTCCTGTTTAAAACTGCATTAGATAAGAAATTTTCTTTATAAGACAATACTTAAATTCGTATCGTTTAAAAAAGCTGATTGCTGCATTTAAACTTAAGATGATGACTAAAAACCATGAATGTGAAAATGTGCCCACTGAGTACTTCCAGCTGCTGACAGCTGCATTATAAATAAGGAAATCCTTTGGTTGAACTTTTTTTTTTGTTTGTTTGTTTGTTTTCAGAAGAATCTCTTCAAAGAATCTAATCGTTTTTTAAGTCCTGTGTTAAATAAAAAACAGAAATCAATAAAAAAAACGTCTTCTCTCTCTCCGTCTCCACAGATCCAGCATGAGTTTTACTAACAGGCCACTTGTCTGAGTTCTTCTCTGACCCATCAGAAGAGGCTAAAAGTACAAGAAAACAAGCAGCCGTTGATCCAGAAAGGATTCCTTTTCTAACCCTGTGTGTTCGGACCTCTGGGAGTTGAAGAATCCAGCGAACGACTCGTTTTACACCCCGGACCCCCCCACTCACCTCTCAGCCTGCAGGAAGATGGGAGTAAAAACATAAAGCTGTTTGGAGTCAAGAGGAGCTCTTAATGAATTCCAGGGAATCCTAAAACAAACAGCATTTTTCAGTGACAGAATTCAGCAGCCATGTACTCATTAGCTCTGACCATCCGCCGTGTTTTGGCTGCTGCTCTGCTATTGGCTGGCAGCCTGCAGTCAGCCATTGAACCTGAGGAGGACGTCACGCCACGCATCAGTTTTCCATACAGTGAGTAATTGCATGCTTGAAGTTTTATTTCTGTGTTTTAATCTTCAATCGTCATCTTCCTGCTCAGCCTTTCTGAGAACACAGAGGTCCAGTAAAGAACAGCCAAGGTGTTGAGCTTGGAGACGATATCTGAATGGCTGTGCTTTTGGGCAATATTCCTTTGCTTCTTTTTCCCATTTTAATTTGATTAATTTTACAACAACACAGGAAATTGAGAAGGATGCAAAGTGCAAGTCAGGGGTTCAAAAACACCCATAATTGGAAGAGATGTCATTAAGTTGGGCTTTTAGAGACACATTCAGAGCTCTATTTAGCTGATAATCAACCATCTACTTCCATGACTCTTACATTCAATTTAGTTACAGTCTGACTGGACTTTTTTTTTAATTAAAAGCGGTTGGACGTGCATTATTGACACTCATTTTAAAATTAGTACCTGACTTTCCAGGCCCATTTTTCGAAGAAGCAATCTTGTGCTTTTTTCCTGTGCTTTTTAATTATACTCCAATTGGAGCACCAAAGTTGAGATTAGTCTTCAATAGAGGCGCAGATGGAAGAAATAATAAGGGATGTTCCAGAACATCCCAGGAGGCACCATGAAAGTGTAATAAAATGGAGATTGCTGGAACACCAGTGTCACTGTCCAGGGAGAAGTGGGTTTAACGAGGCTTTAACTATAAAGGTCATTATGCTTGATGGTCATACAATCTGCATGAAAAAATGAGATGCCCGTCACATCTGCAGCATTTATATTTTGTGAAGCTTTCCCTCCAATTCTAACTAACTCTGAGGGGGGGGGGCATGTTCAGCACAAGCTGCACTGCACCATGAAGTAGAAAACACAACTGTGTACAACTTTTTCAAAGCCTCTTAATGCCTTCAAAGAGAGAACATAGATTCTACAATCTGTTGATAGCGGTGATATTTATGAGCTGAATCACAGAATCTCAAGAGGTTTACATTTGCGAACGCTTGCCAGAAGGATCTGCAGCTTGTTCTCCATGTTTTTCCTCATTACAAATTTTCCCAATTGCGTATATTCTATCGCCCAGAGAGACGTGGAAGCACCAAATGATGTGATTTGGCCATCCAGACCTCATCAATGGATCAAGCTTAAACAAAGCTTATGATGGAAGCCCCAGAAGCAGCACTTTCAATTAAAGCTCACTGTTTTCCACATGATCAAACAAATGCCTTCTGGGTAAAATTCTCAAAAAAGTATAAAAAAAAAACAATCCACTGGACGTTGTTTCCAAGTTTGTAGACGTTTCTCTTCCCATCCAGGAAGATTTTTCAATTCAAAATGTCAGAAATGGCGTTGAGTTCGAGGCTTTATACAGTGGACCTAAACTAAGCCTTGTTTTGGCTTAAAAACATGCAAATTGAAGCGGATAAACGGGTCCGCTTTTCTGGAATGGGGGCAGTTTCAGGTCCTGTTAGCCTATAATACCTGCTACCTGTCTATGTCTCTAAAAGAGGGCCGTTAGGGGGAATTGTTTGCCCAGCATTTCTGTTTTTTATTTCAATTAGTATGTGGTAGATTAGAAGTTTTTTTTTTCTGTAGTGGTTTTGCTTGTTCCAAAAATTTAGAAATGGAAATACCTAAAACCCCACAGTTTTTCTCTAAAACATTGCTTGTTTAAACACATATGTTGTTTAACAGCCAGAATGCAAGCTGAAACTAAAAACAAAACAGTGACCTGTCTGGCAATGTGGCAGAAATAGATCATTGTCTCTAAAATGCTGGTTCTACTCCCGCAGCAGTGTGTCGCAGTCAGCTTGTCGCAGGTATGACGCAGATATTTTTGATCTATGCCCATTTTGGAAGCGTGGTCGGTGCTATGTTATTCCACGCCACAACGCAAGAGGGACAGTCATGAAATAGCTAGGATTGTGTGTGTTGGTTTGACAAGCTTGTTCGCCGTCTACAACCCCTCACCCAACGCCAGACGACACACAGTTCACCTGTGAGTGTTCCCGAAAGACTGGCCGTGGCGCTACGTGTGTTGGCTTCGGGTGCAAACAATCACAGAGCTACAAACTAGAATCCTGCAAGGTGACTGGCGTCGTGGACGGCACTACAGCCATTATTCTGGCCAAACGGGTACCAAACAGGAAATATGCATAGTGTAGAGCGGATGTAGAATTGACCAATCAGAGGCCTCTTCTCTCTCCTCCCTGCGATGCTATATGTGGCACTGTCTGCGGTCACCTACAGTTTTCAGGAGGTGTTTCAGAGTGTCTGCGGAAGGAAGGGGGAGGGGGGGGGGGTCTTTTCATGGCGGTCTAAGGCCCCGTCCACATGAGGTCAAAACGAACACGAAACGCTGATATTTTCCAAAACGTTTGCCGTAAAGACAGAGACGTGAAATAAATGTGAGCGTCCACACGAATGCATGAAAACGCTGCAAAATGTATGCCAGGCCTGTAAGTGGCGCTGTGGTGCCAAAGCAAAAATAAGCGACGAAATGTTGGGCATGCGCACTAATATTTATACATGGTTGCCCTGCGGGTCCATTTTCGTGGTTAAGTCAAATTCAGGTGCTGAACTATGTCGTCGATATTGCTCTGTTCTTCCTGGAGATATTCCAGAAGAAGAAGATTCTGTTGTAAGCCCGACAGCAGGGTGAGTAGCATTAGCAGCAACGGCGCCATTGTTGTTGTGATGTGTCGCGCATGCGTGTTTAGAGGCGACGCTATGATGCATGCGTGTAAAAAAAAATATGCGGTTAGAGCGTAAAGATGGAAACGCGAAAACGGCGTTTCGAAATCTTCCCACTCTGAAGGCTGAATAAAAAAAAGATCGTTTACAGACCCCCGAAACGCCGGCTTCGTGTGGATGAGAGGCTGGTTTGGTGAAAATTTTGTGCGTTTAGGCCAGGGTTCGTCTTCGTGTGGACGGGGCCTTAAATACACAGATCAGATTTTTTTCCAATGTGACCCAGGCCACTTGGCTTGTGGTCCTGAATTTGATGCATTTCAAAATTTTTTTTTGAAATGCATCACCCGCGTCTGAACGGCCAGGTCACGTCATCCGACCTATACGTCATTATTACTCAATAAAGGTCACTACTCTGACTCTTACTACACAGAAGCAGGAAGAAAAACAACAACCATGTCGGACGATGATGTGGAGGGCAGTATTTATTTTCAACAGTCTTGAAAAGAGCGTGTTGACAATGCACTGGCTGAGGTTGGGTAGGATCTCTAGATGCGCTCCAGCACTACCATCCATGTTTATTTCCATAAACAAAGAGCATGATCACTACTTGTGACGTCACTGCGTCCTCCACTGCGCATGCTTCAGATTTAAGTTGTGTGAATGCAGTTTACACAGGAGATCACATACAAGCCGCATCTATTTGGTATTGTGAACGGCAACGTAAAAAAAGTCAGATTTTACAAAAAAATCAAAATTGGTCATTAAGGTCTGCAGTGTGAACACAGCCTATCATGAAATGAGAGGATCATAGCGGTTTCCTCTGGCTCACTCAGTGTCTGAGTGGAAGGTCTAAAGGGCAGGGGAAAGTGAATTCACAACAAGTTTGGAGGGGGTGGGGGGGTCGACAAATGTCCAGGACCTCAGAAAATGACAGCATTCAGATAGGATGGTAAACACAACAAACAGCTCCAACAGGAGTGTTGAGGGATACAACAAGGGCCTGGAGGCCATACATGCCAACTCCCAAACCCAACATGGAACAATCACCGCAAGTTGTTAATACTTGCAGTCGCAAGCTTTGTTCCCGCAGGCTTTTCTTTATACATGCTACTATGAGTGAAATCTGTTGCCTGTGTTGTTTCATTTTGATCCTTGCACATTTCTGCAACTTCTAACAGTGCATTGCTTAAATATTCATATCCCCAAATGTTTTGTATGGTGCATTTTAACAAAACAAACTATATTGCATTGTGTGTGTGTGCTTGTGCTCTTCTAGTTTGTGTGTTTTAGTAATCAGTTTTGGGCGGGCATGATTCAGTCAATTAGCTTTAAGGCCTTGTTCCAAAAACATTCAGGTTCTTCCTCTGTTTTGCATCCAATCCTCCTTTTTTAGTAATGTGCAGAAATCTGCTGCCCAAGTAGAACCTAATGTCTCCTTCTTCTATAGGCTTATTTAAATGGAAAACCTTTTAGTCGCTGACTTCATCATGGAATGTAATCACTACTTATGAACTATAAGAAGGGTGGATTAAGCTTTATAATCTAACAGCAGGCTGCTGTACTTTCAGCATTTGTTCAGCTGACAGCCTTTTGCTAATTGATTGATTCTCTGTGGGAGCTGATGACAAATGGGAACTAGTGTGGACCTTGGTGGAAATGAGCAGCTTTTTTTTTTTTTTTTTTTTTCCAGGAAACACTTCTGTCTGTGAAACGGGCAGCTCTTCATTACAAACAAGTTGCTCTTTAAAATCAGTCCCTCTCTTCTCATGATGGGAGACATTCCAGTCCAACAGCAGCTACAATATAGACCTGGGATCTGCAACCCGCTGTTCCAGAGCTGCAAGTGGCTCTTTATTATAGAGGCTTAAAGCCTTAAAGAACCAACTCATAGTTTCAAATATAGTATATTAACAAATATAATTTTAAAAGCTTTAGCGGGTTTTTAAAATAACATTTGCATTGAATTTTCTAAATAAAATGGCTTTAAAGAACCAGAAGTATGGTAGAAATTAGCTACTGTTTTTTAATATAAAGTAATATCCTAAAGAAACAAACCCACCTCGTACTTCCTCTTTATGAAACGTTTATGTTTTGTCCTTATTTTATTTAAATCTAGTTGTCACTGTTCATTCTGACTAACGGAAAAAAAGCATCCATCTTTAATCATTTGAATTAGACTTTATTTGTATAATTTGTGTTACATTATGCTTTTCTTTCCAATTTATTATGGATTTTTTGTTCACTGTTTGTGTCTGAATAAATTAGGTTTTCGCAAGAACAATAATATCACTGTTAATGTGAATGTCTCAAAAACTCACAGGTATGACATCACGGGTAC